GGCAGGGGAAAAAGTTTCCCCTGCATTGTTTTCCTGCTTTCTCCAGTGTCTGTACTGTTTAGGGCTCATAGATGATTTGTACACCTTCTACCTGCCAGCTGGAAGTGAATGCCAGTCTTGTAAGGGAGACGTACTAACCACTGGGAGACCTAATTTGGTGATTTGCATGTATATTTTCAGAACGGTTTCACAGAAAGTATGTGGTTTAGGAAATGTCGTTGACATTTTCGTAGAAAATCCTGTGCTTGGTGTTCATACAAATCTGGATAGTGAAAAAGAACACACTGTCTTGAGGCTCAGTGTGTGTGCCTTTTGTGTGTTTCAGTTTGGTGAAGATAAAGCAGTTTTAAGGTTAATTGATAGTACTGTGTGATTAGCATCCTGTTTCCATAAAAGCAGGAAGTTACTTCGCTGTGGTCAACAAAGAGTGGTTTGTAACTATTACCTCTGTTGCAATATTTTAAGCCAGTTGGACTTCTTCCCAGTATACAAGCACGTTCACACAGTCGCAGTGCAAAAGGATGTCTCCATTTTGTTTATGTGATCGAAGACATGTTTAATTTGTAAGAAATGTACAGGTTTAAAAAGTCTCTTCAACTGGGTGACCTGCTACTTTGTGCTTCCTTAGCAGCCACCAGTTCTAAACAGTTCTGTCTCACAAGTTGTCATCTTGGTCAGGCAAGCAAAAATTTTTCAGTAGAAACCTTCCCTCGTAAGGACTTTTCTTAATTGCATTTTTTTTCCTAGAAGGTAGATGAATATATTCTTTCTTTGTACTAAAAAAAAAAAAAATCAGACTGTCTCACTTTTCAGTGATTGTTAGTATATATCCTTAGGCTAGAAGACTTAACATTTCTAACTAATCGATTTTGAAAATAATCGTTAGCTGCAGCTCTAGACACATCTAAATGCGTCTATGCCCAGCAACAACTAAACACAGGAAAAAGTGATCTGGGAAGGACAAAGTTGTATATACTTACCAGATAACATCCTAAGCGAGTGAGAAAAAATAAATGATGTGTTAATTACTTTCTAAAATTATTTGTATATAAACTAAAAATATGGCTTCAAAAAAAGCTTCCTAGTTTTTATAACGATTGTGTTAATCTAGAACAGGGGTAGCCAAACTCCGGCCCTCCAGCTGTGGTGGAACTACAAATCTCATGAGGCATTGCAAGATTCTCACAGACGCGACTCCCGGAGAGAACTGCATCATGGGAGTTTCACCACAGCTGGAGGGCCGCAGTTTGGTTACCCCTGATCTAGAACGTTCCAGAGATTGTGATTCAGAGTTCCTAGGAAATCTGCTCCTTACACAATGATATTGGTCACGTAGCTGCTAGCGTGATCTGGAGACTTTCACTCCAGGTACTCCATACAGAAACATTTGGACAACATATTCTGATTCATATTCTGAATAGGAAATCTTTCAGGAAATGGATTTAAAGGGAATGTGACAGGTTTGACACAATTGCCCTTTAAATAAGCCCTAGCACATTGTGTAACTGGGTTACATAATGGAGTAAGGGCTTTAAATATGTTGGACAGTCACTAAATAACATAGTAGGAAATAAATGGACTTCAAGAATCCTGCCAAATAGGATTACTCAGCAGCACAACAACAGATCCATCAGCCAATAAAGTAACGTGATGCTTGTACAGCAAAATGTCAGTTTTCCTATAAAAGTACTTGACCACATAGTACTGTTTTGGCATTGGTTAGTATTGTTTTTTTATCACACAGTTTGGTGGACAGTGAAAAAAATGTTTTATACATCTAGACTGCTGATGTAGTCAAACAAATTATGTGTTCTACAGGTAAAGAATAACACTTATGAATTGTTCATAGAATCGGTTTTGGTAAAAGGAGATCTGTTGAGGAAATTCACTAAAGTCAGTCTGAAATTGAGGCATTTTTAGAGTTCTACACCCATGTAATAATGTGTTACACATGATGGATTGAAACCAGTGATTTGATTTTCTGGCACGCAGTCTTAAAACTGCAAGATATTTAAGTGATTATGTAACCGTCCCCAGAATCTGGTCATACAGATTAAGCAGACTAAAAGACTGATTTTTTTTTTCTTAAATACATTTTAAAAAATGATATATAATTTGTTTTTTTGATAGAGTGGAAAAGGATTAGGACCTCTGTGTCACCAGGCAAATGTATGGCCGAGGTACAGGGTCTAAAGGTGCCTATACAGTGGTCGAATTTCGTCCCGTTTTTAATGTACCGGTCAAAATTCGCACAGTGTATGGGGCTGTCGGCTCCCTTTCAGCCTGCATTCCTAGATCAGCTGACCGAAAGAGCCGGCTGGAAGATTTTCAATCGATCAGAGCTGCGAGCCAATGAGCTGCTCACTCTGATCGGGTATTTTGACTGGCGTTGGCGGCACCTGTCAGAATACAATGTAAACAGCTGGATTCATTTACATTTTTTTTATTCAGTCCGCGGGTTGAAGGAAAAAAAATTGATAGGCGTATGGCCAGCCTAAGGAACTCCCCAGTGGCCCCAGAAACCCTGCAAGGAATGATTGGCTTTGCTGTGGATGGCTCTTGGGTTGTACTTGACGTGCCAACAGCTGACCGCAGGCTGAAAACAAATGTGATACAAAAAACTGCAGGCAAGGTCGTGGTTGAACAGACGAAAGGTCAGGCCAGGTGGATAAGGATAATTGAGAAACAGAGAAAAGGACATGGCAGGCGGATAACAAGGATTACCGAGAAACAGGCAGAGGGTGTAAATGTTTTTCAGATCTGGAACCGAGAACCTGAGTACAGGAGCCTGGGAACAGATACTTAGAGAGGTCTTTGCTCAGGCATCCCCCAAGTGCAATGTGAATGGTTTAAATAGCTTTCCTGGACATGACCTCAGAGAAAGTGTCCGGCAGCATTTGTTGCAGTGGGAGTGCAAGATTTCCGAGTATTTAGAAAGCTGGTGCAGAGATATACAGGGATCGGGTATAGGACCTTGGTGCAAAACAGCAGACTGATCCTTCGAAGATCCTGTAAAGCTGCAACATGAACAGCTGCGGTCAGTGACTCTGGTTGGTTTGGAAGACATTGAACTGTGACACTTTGGTTTTAATTGTCGTCTCCTCCCCTCCCCCCTGGGCCGATTTTTATCCTTGCTTCAGATCCCTCTAACACCTTGCCTCACCAAAACTGTTCCGCTCTGGGCTGGTTCACACCACAAACTGTGCGTTCCAGAGCAGTCAGCCTGTGGAACACACTGTATCACCACCCAGCCTGCTCGCTACGGGAGGGGGCGTGGCGGTGCATTGAAAATAATGGCATCGCTGTCACGCCCCCTGCCCACAGTGCAATTGTTTGCACCCAAATACGTGGCTGCGCTCAAGTCCAGTGCGATCAACAAAAATGCTGCGAGCACTATTTTTGCAGATTGCACTAGACAGGAAGGCAGGCACTGATGGTCCACGCGTTCGGGTGGGGGGTGGGGCTGCGTGCTATTGACTTCATTGCACCGCCCGTAAAACGCAGGGAGCTGGCAGGGTTGCTATACAGTGCATTCCAGTGGCTGACTGCTCTGGATCACACGGTTTGTGGTTTTGATAAGAACTCCGGGAGCAAAACTTTTATTATCCCATGCAGTGGGTCTACCCCCGCAGTTCAAGGGTTAAGTGCTTGTTTGTTACTCAACTGATCCTCGGAGCTGGCTTGCTGTTAGACACGTCTCTGCAGCCTTTCTCCCCCTCCGCTGCAGTCTAAAGTTGGCCATACACTGTAATATTTTCTTCATTCAACCCACTGGCTTAATGAAGAACATATTAGGGTTCTCCATCAATTGGTTAATTGAGAAAACTCCCACTGTTTGCATTGTAATCTGATAAAAACTGCCGGCCTCTGTCTGAATTCCAGAACACAGCCAGCAGCTCATTGGCTGCCGCCTCTGATCATTTGAAGATCAGCCGATTGAGGTACGCCGGCCGAAAGGGTGCTGACAGCGGCACCCACTGCGAATGTTGACCAGCTCATCAAGAACTGGCCAAAAGCTTAGTGGCATTAAACCCTCAGATTTTTTAGCATAAAACAATACTGTAATGTGTGCCTTACTGTAATCCATGGTAGTTTCCCTTCTCTTTGCTGCTCTTCCTTTTAAATCTATATCTATTCTCATGCTGGGGCAGAACTTCTGTTTTGCAGCAGACTGCCTTGTCTCTGAAATGGATACATGGTGTCTGTGTGTAGGTTCACAACCTGAGCCAGCACTACAGGAAGAGGCACTGAGCTGCAAAGGGAAGTTCTCCCCAAGCATGAGAAGACATGAGGATTTAAAAGGAAGAGCAGCAAAGAGAAGGGAAACAACCATGGATTACAGTAAGGCACACATTACAGTATTGTTTTATGTTAAAAAATCTGAGTGTTTAATGTCACTTTAAGGTCGCATTAATCATCACCTTCTATACACTACATATGTATCACCTTCTGTACACTATACATATGTGTGTATAGATGTGAGGACGCTGAGGAACATTCCAATGCTGCAGCATAGGATGAGAGAGACTTCAGAGAATGAAGAAGCAGGCAGTTCGGGGGAGTTTAACTTTTTTTTTTTTAAGCACCTAAACAAAAATGAGCATGTAAACCCTTGCAGTGTGCAGGTAGCCCCACTGCAAGGGTTAAAAAGTTTTGCCCAGAGTTCTTTGATGGGAAAAGACAAATTAAGGCTCTAGTCTTCAGGCTTGTCACATCATTTAGGTGCCTGGGCGAACGTAATGCCTATCCTTTTTCATATTTAGCTTTACTCTCTCTTTTTTTTAATCCATGGCAACACCAGTAAACAAGCTCTTGTTTATAGGTTACATCCATGACCTAATCTCATTCACAGGCTTTTAGCAATATCCATGCACATTTTATGGGGTTGGAAATTCACAACCAAAATATTTTTAAAGAATACTTCCTCAGCAAAAATCACTCTTGTATATTTTTTTTTTTTTTTTTTTTTTATCATCATGACTTTTTCTTTCTTTTTTTAGCAATATGAACCGTGAAGAACGGAACGTGCTGCGTATGAAAGAAAGGGAAAGGCGAAATCAAGAAATTCAGCAGGGCGAAGAGACCTTTCCATCTACCTCTCCTCTCTTTGCTGAACCTTATAAAGTTGTAAGTGTTTTTCTACTAAATGCCTACAAACTGGGTAGTGGGGATTGATCAGACTCTTTCTGCACGTCTTTCACTGTCATAAAAAGTCTCTATGAACTCTGCTCGTCTTGTGACATACTGTACACAGGCACACGTGATGTGCTGGCTGTTTTGATTACCCTCCTCCTCCTCGCTGGCACTTCCTGCTGCTTCTGACTTTTCAGAACTTGTGGGACAGTCTGTCCCTTTACTGCTAACATACACAATACTTGTAAGGCACATTACATGCCTTGACTTGTAGGTTTGTAGTCTGCGTTATTATGTATCATTGGAATTTGTGTCCCTCCAAACTTGTGATGACTTAATTGCTTCTGGATTAAGAGTGCAGTATTCCAAGCCTCGTGAATTGTTAGGTGTAATCTGTGGATTTGATGTGAGAGTAGATAAACATGACGCATAGACTCATTTAGCCATTAACACTCCAGCCTGATTAGTACTGTCACTGTTACACATAACTTTCATCAGAAATATCCTCTGCAAAATGCAGTCTTGTCTCCTTATGATGAGGACGGGTTGGTCTATGCATGGATTTGCATCTTTATGCATACGTGGAATGTAAATATTGATCTAAACCGGGATGGCAGACAGTGGCTGTGTCATGTTTTCAAGTGAAACTCCATGCAAACGGCTAAATACACAATTTTTTTAGTGCTTACTGTTTTACTTTTAGAAAGATTTGTGAGTTACCCACTTCTGCCTTACTGCGCATAGCAAGAATGTGATGTTAGTACCGGTTTAGCATTGCTTATACTGGATTGTCAAAGTGCATCACCTCTGTCCAATTAATAGGTAGGTGATCCAGGTTGTGGTGGAGGCATCTTCTTGGCTTTGCAGTGTTGCAGAGGTATGTAAATCACTTACTACAGTAAACTCCCAGTTATCTGGCACCCACGGGGATCAGTAGCTGCCGGATAACTGTCGTTTCTGGTTGCTTGAGAGTTAATAGTAACTTCCAAGCAACCATCCCCATGGCACCCCACAGGCTGGCTATTGAAACCCCACCCATGTTCTCTCTCATGTCCACTCCTTTGCTTAGTGGGCGGATAACAATAGCCAGCCTGCTAGTGGCTATTGCAATTTAAAATAGCCAATAGCAGGCTGGCTATTTCTCCCGATTTATTTACAGTGGCAGCAAAATTGTAAACAAATAATTTTATTAGCAGCTGTATTAGACTGTTTACTGTATTAGAAATCCTTTGGAAGGTAAAATAGTATTTCTGTTGTAATTTGTTCCTTTTTAAGTCTGTTTGTTTCTTTGTGTGAAAGGGGAGGGGTTTGGGTTAGATAGGTATTTTTGTGTTGGCTTTTATTTTTCACATACTGTACTATATTGTCCTTCTAATGTAAGGTGTATATACCAGAGATTTCATATCTGAAGGATTTAAAGTGTTCAGTTTTTACTTTGTTTCTGTAGATCTGATCAGGCTGTATAACCTATTTATTCATCCGAGCTTTAGTAGAAAATCTCTTTCTTGGCCAGTATAATTTATTCCATTGTATGTGTATCTTTTCTCCTGTGTTCTGTGCTTTTTTGTGTGTTGAAAATAAACCCCATGTAATAAGACAATACCAACATAGTATAGACTTATGTCTACATGAGTTTTATTATTTGCATTTCTAGACTGTACCTGTTGCCTGAGAACCCTTTGTAAAAGCTGTGGTTAAAGTATAACTGAATCCCAAACATTTCTTTTTATTTTGTACTAGCAAAAGTGTGCCCATTCGTTGCACAGGATGAATATAGACATTGGCGGCGAGTGCTGATGTGTGTGCCATCATATGGGCAGCGAGTGAGGAAGTGTGCCTCGGTGCATTGGCGGTGAGTGCTTAATTGCACATCAGTTCAGTGGTGTTGAGCGAGTGTCGAAGCAGTGGCAATGAGTGCACTTTGGTGTAGTAAATGTGCGTTGATGCAGTAATGGTGAATACGGAACTGCCCCCTCAACTGGCTGAAAGTAGGAGGAGGCCAGGTTGGAATGGGTGCTCTTGTGAGTGCCATCATCGCCTCCTGTGCCTGACAGAGTGCTTGCCAGCTTCAAACTGCTGTGTGCTGTCTAGGGAAGTCACACAACTGAACTGGTATGGACCATGTCTGGCTTCGCTGGTGAGGGAGCCACAGAGAGGGACTTGTAGAAAGGGTGGACAGAGCGGTGTGCACTGGAAGACCTGATTGTGTGCTGGCTTAATGGCCTAATTTTATTATTGGGTGAATGGGTGGCTGCTGCAGCTGATTGTGGCTTGTGAAGAAGGGGGCAAGATTGGAGTGATTTCACCCCGGTACTAGCATTTTATAGGGGGTTTCTTCAGTGCCTGTTAACTGAAGTGGTAGTAACTGGGGTCTTGTGCTGTCAGTACAGTGTCAGTACAGTGTCAGTCTTGCCTAGTTGGTGCAGTGGTGGGGACTTGTGTGGTGATTATTGTGAATAGGATGAATTTGAAAGTAGTTCAAATTTGTTCAGTGGCGGTGAGTCCAGAGGAGTGTAGTGGGAATGGGAAAAGTAATAATAGGTCAGTGCAGTGGTGGTGAGCGGGTTAAAACGTATCTTCGTAAAGGCAGTATGTGGATTAAGGTGTGTTGTCGCAATAGTACTGGGGAACTGCGTCCCGGTGCAGTGGCGGTGAGCGGGGTAACTGCGTCCCGGTGCAGTGGTGGTGAGCGGGGGTAGCTGCGTCACCGTGGCGGTGAGCGGGGTAGCTGCGTCCTGGTGCAGTGGCGGTGAGCGAAGTAGCTGTTTGTTTTTTTGTTTTTTTTTTCCATCTGTGCTTCATTGGTGAGATTTCCCTTTTAACTTCCTGTTCTGTAGATGCAACAGGAAATGAGAAAATCTCTCCGAAGTGAGGGGAGAAACCCTTGTAGACAGTTGTCACCCAAAGATGAATCTATTGTAAGATTTTCCCTCTATCCTTCTTCTGATGGTGACTCAAAATGTTGGTTTCTCCTTCACTATCAGACCCAGTGACAACTGTTGTTAGTGCCATTCCCTCTTTCAATTTGTCCTATCGGGGACATAGATAGCAGTAACACATTTATAGTGGTTCTAACCTCTCACAATACTGTCCAAAACTAAAATAACATTTTGGGCTTTTGATGCACGTTAAATTAGAATGTGTTGCGTCAGACAGAAGACACTAAATTATGGGAAAGTGGGTGTCAGTGTTTGTAGAAGAGTGTGCACAGGACCCTTGGTAGAAGCAGGAAATGCCTCCATAATGAATTATACTGATGTGTGCTCTGGGAAATCAGGAGGATGAACGGGGAGCCTTGTAACTTAAGATCAGAGCATTTGTTGCTTGTCGGGTTACAAGTTTTGTTCTTCATTTCCAAGACTAAACAAGATTTTTTTCTTGGTGCTGCTTCTCCAACTTTGCTCAAGTTTTAAATGAATTTTGAGGAGGTACTTTTGATTTCTGGTTTCTGAGCTGTCACCCCCCCCCCACCACCCCCCCTAATTTTTTACAGCTGAGTACAAAGCCCAACTCCAGCCAAAACGTTTTGATTCTAGTTAACGTTGGGAAGGGTTAGAAGCTACATCATCTTTTTAATAGTTCTTTGAGTTTCCTTTTGAGAAATGACTGCCCAGTTCTTGTCTGTTTTATGTTCTAATCAAGTCTAACGAACAATTTCATCTATTCAGTCAGATAAATATGTATATTGCATATACATATGTGAGGTGGTGTTATTTTGGCGCGTATCTACCTAAATTTGCGTGTTCTTTGTTCCTCTCCATCAGCATTGTCCATCGATCACATTAGAAATGCAAATTTCTGGGTCTTTTTAGTAGGGCTGTGGAAATTTAAAGATTAATTTCTCGATTAATCGTTAAAACTTTTTGATCGATTAAAATTATTTTGATCGCTAATGAAAACACTCACCTCTCCGCCGGCTTGCGGGAGTCCCGTCGGCGATCCGGTGACGTCACGGACATCGACGTCACCGGACTCCTCCCCCCTTCCCCAAGTGGCTCCGTCTGCTAACGAAGGGAAGGGGGGAGGAGTCCGGTAACGTCAATGTCGTGACGGCTAACGAAGGGGGAGGAGTCGGGTGGCGTCAATGTCCGTGACGTCACCGGACTCCTCCCCCCTTCGTGAGCCATCGCAGCCACTTGGGCCGGTGAGTTTGCCCAAGAAACTTTCTGCACGAGCGCCAGCCAAGGCATTGGCCTATACACATACAGCACAGCAATGAAGTAATAAAATGAACTAGGATGACACTAATCCAGCACGTTATTATTCTGAGTTGCCCCACTCAAGCGGCGGCCATATTGAGTGGGGCACCTGAGATTGACATGCTGGATTAGTGTGATCCTAGTTAATTTTATTACTTCATTGCTGTGCTGTATGTGTATAGGCCAGTGTAGTTGGATCTGTATGTGCGTTATAATTGAAATTAATCGATTTAAAAAAAAATTTGATTAATCGAACACGAAAATTTTAATCATTACCAGCCCTACTTTTTAGTTAATGTTAGTATTATGACCATTGGTGTGGCCTGTACATAAAAATAAACAAAAAACATTTAAATCTGCAGTAATGTTAAATGCATTTAATTTGCTTTAACAAATGCACCTCAATGTGCATGCATTATGTGCATTATGTCCTGCAATGTCATTTAGTTAGTGTAGATAAACTGGATCAATAATAACTGAAGTTGTGTTTGTGGTGATGTGTCACAGCTGTCAGTAGGGAAAGTCCAGCTGATACTTTGATTCTTGTTGATGTTTCACTGTGACCTTTTAGAAAACGCTTTTTACGGTCAGGGTCTAAAATATGTGTGATTTCTGTTTTTTCTACAGTACTTCCTAGAATACGTACCGAGCAAGCTTGATTCATCTCTGTCTAGTGCTGTCATCATTTATACTGATTTATTGCTCAAAACACAATCATCAGTCTATTTTATCTTAGAGCATACTCTTGACATTTGTTAATATTTTCATCTGTCTGTGAAGAAAGGGGCTGCAACCTTTTTGTTTTGCCCACTGAACTTCCTGTGTTGATGTTGGTTGAAGGACACCGGCAGTTGGCTCCTGGCTGTGCTCAGCTGCATACCCAGTGTTAATGTTGAACCTATAGTGGATCTAGTTGACTCTTTCTGGTTTAACGTGTTTATATAACGCATGTCTGTACTTTATGTCCTTGTGTGTTTTGTAGTAAAACAAAAAATTGCTGCATCTTATTGTGGTTTTCCTTGTCTGTATGGTGTGATGTAAGTCCAAAGTGACGCTACAGGACTTTCTTAAATTAAAAACTTTTTTCATTTTATTTTTATAGTGAATATTTTACTTAAAACTGAATATTTAAACTGTTCTCTTTCTGTATTTTAGACAAGCAAGGAAGATAAATTATCAAACCGTATCCAGAGCATGCTGGGAAACTACGATGAGATGAAAGAAATGATAAGTGACCGACCTTTGCCGATTGAGATTCCCAAGCACACTGTCCCACCCCCACCCTCCGATGAGAAATCTGGACAGGGTTTCTTTACAGATCAGAGACATAGTAACTCTCACCAGAGCAGTAAATGGACTCCTGTGGGACCTGCACCTAGCACTTCTCAGTCCCAGAAACGGTCCTCGTCTAGTGCCCAGGGAGGACACAGCAGGAGCAGCGGCGGCAGCAGCAGTCAAAGGCACGACAGGGAGTCTTACAGCAGCAGTCGTAAAAAAGGGCAACATGGATCAGATCATTCTAAATCTCGTTCCATTAGTCCCGCAAAACAGTCTGCATTAAGTTCTAGTCATTCCCGTTCTCATGGGAATGATCACCATAGCAAGGATCGGCCACGTTCGAAATCTCCAAGGGATCCTGATGCTAACTGGGATTCTCCTTCTCGAGCACCTTCATTTTCAAGTGGGCAGCACTCCACCCAGGCTTTCCCCCCATCGTTAATGTCCAAGTCTAGCTCAATGCTGCAGAAACCTACGGCTTATGTACGGCCCATGGACGGGCCAGAGTCTGTGGAACCAAAACTGTCTTCTGAACACTACAGCAGCCAGTCTCAAAGCAACAGTATGAGTGAACTGAAATCAAACAGCAAAGCACATTTAACAAAGTTGAAGATACCTTCCCAGCCTCTGGATGTGAGTTTTTATAAATCACAAAACCTTTCTTTTCTGTTTGTGCACTAATTATTCTTTTTATGTCATACCTATTAATGTGGTAGTTAATGTCCAACTTTGGGCCCTGACAGTCACAGGACATGCAGGGTCCTTTCCGGGTCTTCTCTGGCCGTGGGTGGTCTTCGGTGATGCAGAGTGTGGCGGTGATGATGTCAGTGCTCTTCTCTGCATCATTGCATCCCCTTGGTGAACAGGTCCTTGACACCCTGCACTCATTCTCCTCAGTCTTCCACCCATCTCCATTTATCTCTAATACAGAACTGAGAGGGTTGTCTGCAGACTTTCATCCATTACCTAGACAGTCATGCCTGGTTCATAACAATCAAGAATGTAAATGCATAGATCATTTTTGGTGTGTAGGATACGCTCTCTCATCCAGCTACCATTTTGATGTCAGTGGCTATCACTGCAATATGAAGTTATTCAGTATTAAAGAAACTTTGTCATGAAAGAAATACTAGGGCTGCCATTGGTGATTGCATTGTCTAAGTGTGGGTTGCATGGATGTCATGCTTATCCTATTGGTTTTGCTACATCTAGTGCCACTGGACCACAATAAGTTTTCAAGCCAAGCATTTTGACCTTGCTTACAGCATACTTGTTGAGTGAATCAGTGACCAGGAAAGTATTGAAGCCAGGGACAGACATGCATGTAGTATTTACACGTTTAAAGGACACCTGACATAGAATAAATATAGTACTATGGTATTTACACATAAAGTGTATGTGCCAAACTAGAGGAAAGAAACTGGGTCTGGCTCATGGGAGTTCATCGCTGGTCTTCCCAGAACCCATTTTACCTGGGTGCATGTTCTTTATTCAGAGAAGTGCTTGTAAACTCTGCACCAGCCCTGCAGTTGATGCATGGTTTTCTGTAGAAATCGGATGACGAGATAATACTGGTTTAACCCTCTTCTTTTTACAAGTAGTTCAGAAATTCTGGAAATATTTTAATTCTATCTTTTAAACTGGTTAGTTCCAAAACTGATTTTTTTTTTTTTTTACCATCATGGTCACAAGCTCCTGTTTAGTGCTATGTACAAAAGTACTCTGTTGCCACTGTGGGCAGCTCTATAGCTGCTTAAAGTACAATTGAACTTTTAGTACATTTGGCTTTTTCTGGCCCCCATTTCCTAGCATTTTGGAAATGGATAATACTCGCATGTGTTCCTGCTCCCCAAAGTTCAGTGCCACAGTCTCTCCCCTAAAAGCTTGCATATTTGAGCATCGCGCTGTGGGCTTTATTCACTTTAGTAGAAAGCCTGTCAACTGGCTGAGTGAATGGAGTCTGCTGCATGCTTACACAGTTAACACAATGCAGCATTTTAATGCTTTCAGGAGAAAAAACGGTGTGGTGCTGGCAGGCTGCACAGTCAAGTTTTTGGAAGCATGCAGGTTAAGCATATTCCAGCTCAGAGCTTCAGAAGTGTTGAAAGCCAGTGCCGGGCTCGCAGCTAGCGTTTTCTGAATAATGACTGCCTACATATTTCTCCTATGACCAGCATTTAAGGAAGGGTGTCAATCTTGGGAGTGCAGAAATGTATATATGGTGCCTATTGTTAATTTTTCTTATCATTTTCTGCTATTGGCAAAGGAAGCACGCATTTGTTACTCCTTTAAAGAGCCTCCTGGCTCTTCGATTGCATCAACCGACTCCTGCATTCTGCAGTAATTAGTCATTCGCTGCTTATAGCACCATATGGAAAATCTTACGGTTGTGTGGAGCATTGTGAGTGGAAGTATGCTGCTTCAGCCCTTGCCCAGGCTTGGAAACTACTGCTGCTGAAACACTGTACCATTAAAAGTAATATAAACATGGTGTAGAAGATTTTTCCTTTCTTTTGTGATAACATATGTTTGCACCATGTGTCCTTACAGCCTTCTATAAATATTATGGATATTTCTTTGTATCAACACAGGCTTCTGCATCCGGTGATGTTAGCTGTGTGGATGAAATTCTAAAAGTAAGTATTTTTATGTGCTGTTGAAAAAGGATAAACTTTGAGCAAGTTTTTCACAGCCAAAGGAACCGAGGGGTGACCCAATTGTTTCTAACTTTTGTCCCTCCCGTATATGTATGACAAGTGATAGATTAAATAATTAAAGTACTTTTGAAATGCTTAGGCCCTTAATGACATTCTTAAAGGACCATATATAGAAGAGGAAAGGTAAATGATTTTATTGCCCAAGTTCCATCATTTCCCTATTATATATAAGCTGAACTCCCATCAGTTGGAAAAATGCACTGTGCAGTGGGGCCTTTCCTTCTACTGAATGGTTTGTTTTGTTTAGGGGGTAATGAATAAGCTGAAATACTTACCTCATTCCTCATATCCCCTGCAGCCAGTACCCTCCTCCGCTCTCTGATACTCCCAGTATGTGGTCTGGGCCTCCACATCCTCACACACAAAGCAGGGGCTGCTGGTCCTGCTTTGTATGTAATGTCATGGAAAAGTTGTAGTAGGTAAAGAGGGGTGTCTGGGGGGGTGTAATGTGGTCATACAGCACGGAGGAAGCTTGTAAGTCAGAGGTATAAGGTAAGTAACTGTCAGGGGTAGAGTAACATAGGGGCTACTGGAGCACCAGCTCCAGGCCCAGCGCTAAAAATAGGCCTGGCCAGCCTGCATTACCTTGGCATGCCCTATGACGATCCGGTCGGCCAGGCTGAATCCAATCAGGCAGAGGTCCCAGCAGCTCTCTAATCGGGCATATTAGGTGGGGCCCAGGCGAAGAGCCGCCTCTGCTGCTTCCCCTGCGACTGACTGACAGCACCAGACCCATGATGCTCTTAATCCAGCCCTGGTAAATGTAATATATCAATATCTTAATGCATTGCTATAAACATATGAATTGTATTTTCATTTGTTAATGGTGTCCATTTTCAGTCAGAACTTTGGCTCTGTTTAGGTGATTAGAAATTTGAGTACTGGCAGCACTCCAAGACTAAGTAACTGAGGCAAAACTATTTTGAGATCTCAGCCCAGCAGTTCTGCCTTCATAAACAATGGGAAGTAAAAATTGGTTTCAACCAGAATTCAAATTCCTGTCCCAGCCACGACTTTTTTTTCTTTTTAGTTTTAGAAAAGATGTTTGTTACTGTCTTGTCTATCTTGTCACACTTCGTATATATCCACTAATTGGAAGAATAGATTGCAATTAAAAAAGAAAACTGTTCTATCTCTTTAATAGTTCAACTTGAGCATAAAATGTTCCACTTACACTAAAAATGTATGTATGTTTATTGTTATGCATTCTATTTTGTAATGTTTTTAAAGAAATTACCTTTTCATTTAAGTCGTCAATTGTTGTGATGCTTGTTTACTGATGCAGAAGGACAAAAATAAAATAGGTGAATGCTTACCAAAATCTGATGTTTGCTGCTGTTTGTTAACATTCGGGGCTGCATGTCTCATGGCCCTGACTGCACTTGTACTGTACGGCCACATAGACTTCTCTGAGGCTGTGTCCCGAAGCTGGAGACTGAGGGAGATGGCCATAGAGGTCTATGGGGCTAAAATGCACAGGCACAGCCAGAATGTAAACAAACACCGGAGGCCACAACAGATGGATCGAGGTAAGTATACTCTGTGGAAGGGGAAGGTGTGTTAGAGTAGGTCAGGAAAACGGGGCAAAAAGTAAAAGTGCACTTATCCTTTAAAATTAACTTTATTTTCTTTATTGTTTTCAGGAAATGACGCATTCATGGCCTCCACCCTTGACTGCGATTCACACCCCTTGCAAAACTGAGCCCTCTAAATTCCCCTTCCCAACAAAGGTTAGACTTTTTTTGTGTTTGATTTAAAATAATTTTTTTGCCATATATGTTTGTGTGTAAAGGTTGAATTGTCACTATATAGCTTTATTTCTCTGGAAAGTGTATGAAGGCATTCTTATTGGGATGATTTTTTGTAATGCTTTGAGAATGGTGAAAGGTTTATGTTTTTCCATTCTGGAAAGAAAGAAAACACATTCCATTGTAATGATTTAACTGGTTCCGAGTCTTAAATTTGCAGTAGTGCTTTCTGAAGGCGCTATGACTACAGTGCATATGTATTTAGCATGACATGGGTTTTAGGTCACTGCCTGTAATCCGTTTATTTTCAGAAGTCATTTCAAAATGTCTCCTTATGTCCAGAGATGTAGATCAGTCTTTCCTTTCATAATTCACAGCTTTTTAGGCCTGCCATTACTTTTTTTTTTTTAAAGTCAACAGGTTGACTTTTTTTTTTTCTTTCTTTTCTAGGAATCACAGCAACCTAGCTTTGCCACTACTGAACAAAGTGAGTAATCCATCCTGCTATAAACATCATTTTTTACAAAGTATGCTTGTCACATGTGATATAGAGAACACAAACATTTTCCATTACAACAGTGGTAGTTAGGAATGTAAATGTCACTTTCGGTCAGTTTGCTCCTGCATTTTACATCTGGTGTCAGTTGTGTGACGTAACCAACGGTACATTTTTTGTTCCATAACGTTCCACAACATAACATTCCCAAATACTTTAGATGCCGACGGTATCACAATAAATATAAAAGGGACATGTTTATGTTTGCGTTCAATGAAATATTGATTATGCTGGTGTCGGGATTTTGAAGGCGTTGTTTTTGAATGTGGCCTATGTTACTTTTTTATGTAAATACCCTTTTACTGCTGACTGAAAATGTGAGAGTGGTAGGTTGATATGGTTCAGTGCACATAGCACATAAGCTGTTAGGGCGAGCAGGGCGGGCTGTTTCCATGCCTTTCTGTTGCAAAGACCCTGACCTAGTGGTTCTTCAGCAGAGGTGGTACGATTGTTTCATGCTATCAAAGATGCTGCAAGTTTTTAAATCCTGGCAACCTGTGTGGATTTAATCTCAGCTGTCTACCTTTTAGGAATGTTCTGTGTAATATAGATTTTTCATCAACAACTCTTTTCAAATGGATTATTCTGGCAGTCCATCACCAGCAATGAACAGAACTGTCCTCCCTGTGTGCCCAGGACCAGCACACAGGTCTCTGTGCCTGGATCGGAGGGAGATCAGCACACTTTTAATAATTATATCACTTCCAGTTTCAGTGTGTCGTTTCTCTGACAGCTGTAGCTGTAGCAGATGCTGGTGAAACGGATCTCTGCTTTATCAGCTTCTTTGCGGTCCATAGGTGACATTAGGGGTCTCATAGATCCATTATGTCTCTATAAGGAGGACCTGTCACTGTTTGTTTTAGAATGTTGGGGTTTGACTGACTGGTGAGACACAGCCAAATTTTTCAAGCCCTGTATATATACATATATACACCCGGAAGTGGTTAAAAAAGAATTCTTGATAATATAGCGGCCCGCAGAACTGGTTAAATTGGTGTAATTTTTAACTGCCAGTGATGGCTGTTAACGTACAAGCAATCCAACGTCTACACAGCCGCCAGATCGTTTGTACTATGCAGGCATTACTCGACATGACTCCATCTTTCATATTTTACCAAAAAATTGGGTATTATATTTTGTTTCTGTGCACTAAATTTTTATTTAGTTTTATTTTATCCTAAAAATACTCGTTTGAGAAACATTTGCACCATTACGGTGCGGCATAAAAAATTGCAACTAGCATTTTTTTTTCTTCTACAGGGCCTCTGCTTTCAGAACATATATCATTGTTTGGGGTTTTGAAGCTGTTTTCTAGCCAAAAAGTTATATTTTATCATGTGTGTGCAAATAGTAGGAAAATGCTCCGGACAGCAAGTGGTTAAGTCACTAACGTCCACATTCACGCATGTACAAACGTAAACACGCATCAGGTGTACCTATGTGAAAACGACATTTGCACTACATATCACCGCGAACAATAATTCTAGGGCCATCACTTAACACTAAATTGATGAGAGGTAAAAGCTTTTAAAGCGTTGCCTATGGCCAATTTGGGTGTGGTAGTTTTTTGCAATTTCGTGGGCGCACGCAATTATAAGGCTTGATATCTTTTGGTGTCTGTCTATCCAATGTGACCCTGTCTTTTATATTTTACTCAGATATTTTGGTACTTTTTTCTTTATATAGTAAAAAATAAAAACACCAGTGGTGATTAAATACCACCAAAAGAAAGCTCTAGCTGTCCCCAAAAAATGGTATAAATTTAATTTCAGTACAGCGATGCATGATGGGATAAATGCCATTCAAAGTATCGCAAAATACTGAAAAATGGCCTGGACAGGAAGGGGGTTTAACACCCTGTTCTTCAAATGGTTAATCCTTACAGTGCAGGGGTACTCCCATGGCAAGGGTTAAGAAAGTTGTGTCCCATAGTTCCTCTTTAAATGAAACATGTACTAGGAAAGATAAGTGTGCTATTGCTAATCACCTTCTGAAAATTGTAGTTGACTTCTCTAGTTTTTAATACTGTATAGTGGAGTTTCATTTCAAATGGAAGGTATATTTCCTTGCCAGCCTCCGCTACAAGCTGTAAATGAAAGTTTAGCAATAAAGATTTCACAAGAAGTAAGATGTAAAAGCACTACCTCAGTCTCGGCTGGAGACTCCAGGAGGAGTGGGTGACGTCACTAGAGCTGCAGCTAACGATTATTTTCAAAATCGATTAGTTAGCAGATTATTACGTTCGATTAATCGGTTAATCGGATAAACAATAAAATAAATTTTTAAAAATGGCTCCAATGATGGTACTACTAGTTTGTATTGAGGTTGTAGTCCATCACAGGAGAAAGCTTGGAGCGGTGGAAGTAAAAAAGAAAAAAAATAGTGTGGTGTGCAATATAGTGAAATGGAAAGTGTAAAATTATACAGCAATGAATGCAGAATGGCTATAGAGGACTACAAATCCCAGCAATAATACAATACACAGTGCAATGCAGAATACCGCCAACTATAATGTACTATTGCTGAGATTTGTTGTATTCCTCTATAGCTGGCGGTATTCTGCATTGTGCTGTATAATGTACTATTGCTGAGATTTGTTGTATTCCTCTATAGCTGGCGGTATTCTGCATTGCGCTGTATAATGTACTGTTGCTGGGTTTTGTAGTCCTCTATAGCTAGTGGTATTCTGCATTGTGCTGTATAATGTACTATTGCTGGGTTTTGTAGTCATCTATAGCTAGTGGTATTCGGCATTACACCACTGTATAATGTATTATTGCTGGGATTTGTTGTACTCCTCTATAGCTGGTGGTATTCCGCATTGCGCTGTATAATGTATTATTGCTGGGATTTGTAGTCCTCTATACAGCGCAGTGCAGAATATCACCAACTATAGAGGAGTACAACAAATCCCAGCAATACATTATACGTACAGTGTATAACGTATTGCTGGGATTTGTAGTCCTCTATAGCTGATGGTACATATACAGCACAATGTACCATCAGCTATAGAGGAAGACAACTTCCACTATCCCAGCAATACATTATAGAGCACCATGTGTGGGAAAGTGCAGTCTTCCAGCAACTTGCTTCTGAGATCGGACCTGTCTATCGGCGGCTGTCATCCCCCACACCTGCTCCTCCTTACTACATCTCCCCGCGTCCCTGTGCCGATCGTGGATGTGGGCGGGTAGTGAGTGTGATGCGGGGAGGAGGTGCAGCGTGTAGAGCGTGGATGCGGGCGGGCCTGGCAGCGGCGAGTGTGAGGTGGGGAGGAGGTGCGACGTGCAGCATGTGGGAAGCCATGAACAGGGCCAACTGATCGGAAGCCGATTAATCGATTATTGAAAAAGTTGACAACTTTTTCAATAATCGATTATAATCGATTATGTCGATTAGTTGTTGCAGCCCTAGACGTCACTGCGCCTGCCCCCTGCTGCCTCTTGCCAATTCAAATTACCACGAGAATGCCCTCCTGCAAAACGCTGGAATTCTTGTAGGATTTTGGTTGCCCAGCAGTTCTGAGATGCAATGAGGAGGCGTGGTGAATGTCACCCATGCCTCCTGGAAGTTGGGAGTGGGGTATTTTTTTTCTTTTTTTTGGTCAATTCTTTATTTTTAACACTTTTTTTTTTTTTTTGGGACAGTGGAGTACTGGCAGGGAAGCACATCTTCCATTCCTGCATAAAGATCCACTTTAGATCACTGACTAGAAATAAGTGTACAGCAATTGAAGTCACTATCTCATCTGCATGCCTTTTATGGGTCATTTAGTCAGAACCATAGATCAGTATGATTTTTTAGGAGAGATTGCAGTGGCAGTCTGCTTCATTCAGTGCAAGCTTGCACTCAATTAACTATAAAAGTTCTTGCTTAAAGAAGATGCCATGATATTTATGTATAACTTACGTGTACGTAAACGTTTTTGTGTGATTCAGTTGCAAAATATCTTACCTGGATATCCTCCCAGTAACAGCCATTCCTGTTTCAGGCTGACAATACTAGGTCACTGCCTTGCTATTGGCAGCAATGTTGTCAGTCTGTCGTTATGCTTCTTTAGTTTGTATAGGGAAGGATTAGAACCACTGTCAGGATTTTATTGCTGTCTGTGTCCCCATTGGGGAGATTAACCCTCTCTATTTGTCCTGGTGACCATTGTCAGGGAGACAAAGTAATGGGAAATCCAAATTTTTACAGCGGTCACTCTAACAAGATGTGAGGGGAACTCTGCCAATGGGGGCACCTGTTGTGATGTCCAAGTGGTGAATTTCTCTCACTTTGTAAAAAAAATATATATATATTAAGAAGTGGGAGAAAATCCCAAAATTCTGGGTTGTCACCAAAACAGGAATAGGTGGAAAATATTATTATTATTACATAGTATTTATATAGCGCCAACAGTTTGCGCAGCGCTTTACAATGTAAGGAAGACATTACAATACAATTCAAGACAAGATGGTAAGGAGGGCCCTGCCCCTGAGGGCTTACAATCTGAAAGAGGAGGGGGAAATGATGCATGAGGAGGTAGCTGTGTGGGAACGGGGGCATTAGTTGTAGTAACCCTGCTGACTTCCAGGGATTTTCCTCAATTTGGAGGGATTTCCTCTCACTTGTGGCCATTGGACAGAAAATGAAGGGAAGTTGCCCCTGGCTTCAGTTCTACTTTAAGGGTAGAACTTGAATGTAACAGTTTATTATGGCATAAGCTCATTTAATAAATATGTAGGTTTGCGGTTTTAAAGTTATTACACATCTGCATAAATTCAGTTATTTGAATGTTATGTACCAAGCCTTGTAATTGTCTTTTAATGAGCATTTTTCTTTCACAGAGCGATACACTGCATCAGCCAGAGCTTCCAATGGACATCAGTCTAAACCGTAAGTGTTTGGATCTGGGGGGAGAATAGTTTGTCTGGATTTGATAAGACTAATAAACGTGTGCTCTAGCATTTGTACTTTGTCAAGGTGAGAGCTTGGGCTTGTCAGTGCAGTGCATAGTTAAAAGCACCAATCTAACATTCTTTCCATTCGATACCTTCTATCTCAACTCCTCCTTCGCCTGGGGTGTTAACCTATTAATTGTTAAAGGTATTGATTTTACAGATTATAATGTTGAGATTGATACTAAAGGTTGAATTATTTTTCTAAACTGATACATTTTTGCTATAACCTATGTGCCAGTGAGTGTCTATGTCTCACAACTCTACTTGGGGATGGTTCTAAAGCTGTTGGTGTACCTGCTGGACAGACCTGGTGTTCCACTTTTAATTTTGGGAGACTTCCAACAACTTCCTTGACCCTAACACTGATCTTAGAGCCCATTTTCATCTTAGAGCCCATTCCCACCAGGGAGGGTGCGGTTACCGCGCTGATCTCAAAAGGGTTGTTTTGGGAGTTTCTAATTGCGTTTCAGCATTGTAAACGCCCACAACCGCGCTGATCAGCGGGGTTCCATTTGAAAGCTGTATGGAAACTGCACTAATCAGCGCAACAAAAATAGGGCGGGGTGGTTCGGATCGCGCGGAACCGCACTGTCACATGAACGGTCCCCATAGCAATGTATGGGATCATTCATGTCGGCGGATCCGTGCGGCCGAACCGCCCCGGTATGAACGGAGTCTAACTCTTCTCGATCCCCACCTCTTTATCTCAGCTATCTAGTTCCTTAATAAGGTCCAATGTCTAGATCTCTGGAACCTTTCTCATCCAACTGATGGGTATTTCTCAAGTTGTTCAAAAACTCACAGGTTGCTTTCACACATTGTCCTTCTAATAGGTAGTGAGAAAATTGAGTATGGGTTCTTGAGGCTTTCTGATTATCCCCCACTTATTATCCAACTACTAGTTAGGTTCCTACTTCACAGCCCTACGGTTTCCTGGAAACTCTATGCCTTGTGGCTAAATGTTTTTCAATTACATGACAAAATTCAATGTGGTGTTGTTGAGTTCTTCCACTGTAACAATGTTTTTAGCAACACTTTCATTGGATGGGATGCCTTCAAAGCTTTCCTCAGAGGAATGTTTATTAGAGAAAATAATACCTATAAAACTGTCTTTAAAAGGCAGATGCACACCATTTTCTATTAGGTTTGCTGTGCAAATCTGAACAAGTTCACTACTCGCTTAGAATTCAGAGAAGTATAAACAAGCTCTATATCCAAATGCTGAATTTGTTTTTTTTCTACGGTCATATACTATGATGAGGAGGAATGCACAAGTCATCTTTTGGCTACCGTAGCAAGGGTTCAAAAGCAATCCAAACATATAGGTGCTCTTAGAGACCACAGTAGGAAAGCCAACATCTCCCCCACTCCCTACTGACCTTTTTAACTTCAAAACTTAAGCTGTCCCTTCCTAGTCAATCTAATTTCTTCAAAGCATTACTTTCACAAGACCGAAAAATATCTTGATGCCATTTACATTGAAAGAAATAGGTTTAATAGCCATCTCCTACTTTCTAAATGACACCCTTTGGAGGTGGTCTACCCCTTGAGGTTTATAAGAAGTTAGGCTGACCTACAAAAATTCCATTATAAAATGTAGCCCATGACTTCAGATGTGCTTAGTATGCATTAATATTGCTGTATTGCTGTAGACTATAGTAAAGTATAGTATAACATCTCATTTGTGTCTCTCAGCAAGTGCCATGTTTACCAAAAGTTCCATTCACTTTTTTATCACTAGTTTATAACACACCAATATGTAACCCTTATTAGTTAAAAAGGGAATGATTGTTACAGAACTGGATCTATACTGCTGGTGTGTCCTGAGCTCCAGGATTATGTAAAGGAGTATAAATAGACCACATGGAGTTTTACTAATTCTTTAAAGCTAGCAACAGCCTCTTATCTTGGAGTACACTTGCTTGACTGTTAATTCTTACGCGTTATGTTTTGTACTTGTAGTGTTGTAAGGGTGAAAACATAACGTTCCTAGTGTTCTCTGACAGAAAAGGAATTTCACTTCATAACAATAGTATAAGTAATAAGGAGACCTGGGACAATATGAACCTGAATGTCAGGCTAATTTCTAACAAATTAGAACAACATGACAACATTATGTGCTGAAGTAAGACGCTGATGTACAGTAAACATGTATATAAATTGTACAACGGATAAACATAATTAAATGCCCAGTGATAAGCTGTAAATGAGACTACGTTTTAAAATTGAATATGGTATGTAAGATAGCATAGTTGTACTTGGTTATCCTGACCTGCTACTCAGAACTAGGACTTGGTGTTTACCTGCCTGATAGACATTTATTGGTGAAACCCTGTTTGTATGGCAAGGGTTCCAAAGAAATTGTTATGCATGCATTTCGAGGGACATAGTCTCATTGCAGCTGCCCTGGACATCCACATCAAGGATGTCACTGGTGTTAAGAGTACTCATCTGCCCCAGCAGTAGCAGCCTAAACCTCAGTTTGGGTTTATTCTTGACACAACTCAATTCAGAGTTTTCTAACTTCCAATTCTGAGAAACTTCTAACCCTGCCCTACGAGACGTGGGCTCTTCAGTCCAGGAGTCATTCAACTTTTTTTTCTTCTGCATGCATGTCCTAGGGCTGGTGGTAGCTTCATTTGAGGCAGTCCCATTTGCTCAGTTCCACTCCAGAACACTACACTGCAACATCCTGTCTTCATGGGACAAATTAGTTCAGTCCCTGGACAAGCCAATTCACCTGACACCCAAGAACCAGGCTGTCCGTGGCCTGGTAGCTCAGGAGTCCAGTTCTGGAGTTGGAGAAATCCTTCCAATCTCTTGCAAGATCCTTACAACGGATGCCAGACTGACAGGCTGAAAAGGCATCCTAGACACCTATTTGGTGCACGGGGCTTAGCACAACATTGAGTCTAAGTGGTTTGGTTTTCCCTACAACACTGGACATCATGACCTGAAGGGGCATCTGATCAGGATCCAATTAGTAAATGTCATGGTGGTAGCGTGCATCATCCATCAGAGAGCAACCAGCAGTCTTCTATGACAAGAAGTAAGAAGGGTCTGTCTTGGGTAGAACTTTACATACTGGCCTTGTCTGCAGTTTACATCCTGGGTATGGACAGTTGCCAGGCAGACTTCCTCAGTTGGCAGCACCTGGATTCATAGGAATGGTCCCTACACCTGGAGGTGTTCCAAGATCTGTGTGCTAGATGCCGTATGTGGTCCTCTTACCATCCAGGTTAAACAACAAAATGGACAGTTTGGTCTCCAGGTACAGAGATCTCTTGGCAGGAGCAGTGGATGCTCTGGTGGCTCTGTGGGAGCACTACAGGCTGATCAATGCCTTACTTCTCCTGACACTCATTCAATGCCTGTTTCACAGGATTGAGATGTTGGGCATTCCAGTGATCCTCAGGGCTTCGCATTAGCCCAGGCAGATGTGGTATTGCGACCAAATCAGACTCCTGGCAGATGCTGCATAGGCTTTTCCAGATCATCAGGGCCTTTGGTCTCATGGCTCTCTCCCTGTTTATCATCATTCTTCATGATCACTGGCTTTAATGACATGACAAGGGTATCTTTGAATCGGTGATTCCCACATCTAAAAGCCAGTAAGTTTGATTCCCTGCAAGGCATACTCAGAGTACCGTACAAGGAAATACTCCTTTTTGCACAAATCCTCAGTTTTTGCAATCCAGCCTGGAACGACGGTTGACACAGAGCACCGTCAAGGGCCATATGTTGGCACTTACAATCTTGTTCCAGAGACTGCTAGCCCTCCCATTCTTTAAGACCTTTGTTCAGGGTGTCTTTTATGTACCTCTTCCTGAATTTGTAATTCCATGGCATCTGAATTTTGTTCTCTTGGCACCTCAAAAACCGCCTTTTGTACTTGGCAGAGATACTCCCCTTGTAGCCATCACCTCTGTGAGTAATGTGTCTGAGCTGGTGACTTTGTCCTTTTAAAATCTTTATTTACCCCCCTTGCAGTGGGGTTGTCGTCGTCAAC